GGTGATTTCCAGTGAGTGACTGGAATAGCTTGTTGCGAGCAGGTTTTTCTGATCATAAACAAACCGGGATATGTATGATGCCTCCCGTGCATTTATTGGTGTAAATGAGATCTGAATCAGGCCTCGGAGCTTATAAATTTGTTCATTTTAACACAGCAAGAAACACCAGTTGTCAGCTTTCACGTCCATGACGTGATCTACTGGATATTGGCTAAGTTGTTGCATGGCAATTTGGATATTGTGTACAGAAGGCAACCGTCGGCATTCACACAGTATGATTAATGGAATACAATTCTTGCTAATCACAGAAACTGTAGACATTTATATATTAACTACCTAGTCCTACACTTGCTTCTATCAATACCAAGAGCAAAAATCCTGTTGAATTCATCTTCCAGATCTCAGTTGCTCTGCAAACTAGAGACACGTATTTTATTTACACTTTCCTGAGGAATTAGATTCAGACCAAGATTCTTCTCAGTCTGTTTTGAACTGAATAGCCACATAGATGGGGCATATGAAAATAGCAGACCTTTTGAAATGTGAAAATATGTGGTTTCCCCCAAGGCTATAAAAAACAGTGGGAAGGCCAAGATCAGAACTAAGAAATTTTCTGCTCACAGCCACAGACTCAAGTCTCTGTAAAATGCTGGCTACTGAGACACATGCTCAGAGCATCCTTAGGTTGATATTGCTTGTTAGTTTGTGTTTGCTTTGAGACTGATCTTCCTCCTCGTAACATGAAGTATAGAGAATCACTTCTTGAGATGATTTTTAATGGGCACATCATTAACTACTGTCACAATAAAAGGCACTTCATGTTTAGTAGACATACGATTCCAGCCTTGATTCAGTCCATGATTTCTTCCTCTGAACAGGCCTATTTTTAATTAACATATTTGCAAATGCCAGCATTGCTACAGTAGGTACATGTTTCTGCTTGTGTCTGCCTCACATCTTTACACTGTATGCAAGACTAACTCAGCATCCTTAATGTGCACCTAATTATTTTGCATGAACTTACAGGTGAATCCAATGTACTTCCCTGTATTTTTAAGCAACACGTGGTCAGTGCTGTCCACTGCGACTCAGTACTAGCTGATGGTCCTCACCAGGAGCAAAACGTCCCTCATTTATGGAACAAAGCCAGAAAATTCACTAAGAATTGCATGACTGAGGGGGGAGTGGTTATTTTTCATCTTTTAAACTTGAACCCTTTGCTTTGTTAGTATCTTGCTGTCTTGCCAAACGCCAGCATCTACTTCCTACCTCTGGGCGGGGCCAACCCTGTCAATCAGATGACCAACGGACTCTCACAGGCACTCAGCTAACTCCGCAAATCACAACCTGTCCGCTCTAATCCTCAGGCCAATTCAACAGCTCTACAACTGTGTGTATCTCGGAGCCTAAAACGGCCAATGTGGAATTCTTCTCATTACTGCTGCTTCTTATTAAATCACACAGAAGTTACATGCTTGAAAAAAATTGAGATTTGTTTCCACATAAAGTTATTTCCTGTGAATGCTTTCACACGTCCTCTGCCTAACATAATTTTCATGAAAATGAAATATAGTCATAACAAACCTGCAGAAAGCCATGCGTATTACCCAAGGGGAATTACACTGCAATGGTGTTCAGCTAGCTTACTCCAAAGGTCTCCTCCAGATCCCAGCAAAGAAAAGCCTGAAAACCTACCCTGCCCACCTCACCTATCAGAGTCAAAAGGAACAGCCACCAATACCTAACTGTACTTAACAGCAGCATTCAAACTTTTTATTGTGTTAATGAGGCAAGAAAGAATTCATGAACAGGTACAGATAATACAGCATCATCCATCTTATATTCAAGTAATATTCACTATGCCCTTACTATCTGTGCCTGCCTGCCAACATTTCACAGAAAATAAAGCTACAGTCAATTACAAATACTGTCACGTAAAGCAGTTTATCACATTTGTTTTCAGGTTCGTACCTTCTGCTAAGTCATCTAACTGAATGAAGAAGTACTGAATTATAAAACTGAAAAATTATACAACACTGAAAGGAAGCTTTAAACTTTTGTGATTGCATGGTGTGTAGAAATCTATTTCAACCCATTCAGACACTTGCTTAAGAAAAAGTTTCAGAAAAAAAATGAACAAGCTTAGGAATCTGATGCTAAATTAACCTTTTCATATATTGCCCTTGATTTCCAGGGTTTCAAAACTGGATTAACCGCAGTAGTACAGAGGGGTATATTCACTGTGCTAATCCACTGAGTTCAGTTCAAGTTTATTATGCTAAATACACTCCATGAGGATTTTATCTTTTACCTGCACCTTCCTGTGCTCAGTGAGACTCTTCTATTCATCAAGTATGAGAAGCACAAAACAGGGTGGAACCTGCCTTTTTAATTATCTTGTACCAAAGTAGCCCCACGATAGAGCTGAACAGCTCAAATTCTCTTATTTTAGAGCATCTTATTATCTATGGAAGATCACAAACTGAAAGAAAAGGTATGCTGAGCTTGCTATTGATTACAGCTATATTTGCCATGATTCAATAAGTTGAAATTTCATACATGAAATATTAAATTACTGAAATTATGCACTGGCTCATCTGCATCATTTTTTTTATTCACTTTTATTTGGCTGAACATTTTAATCTTACTTACACAGTGACTAACTAAAAGTAAATGACGCATTCCCAATATTATAAATATGAAAAATAGGGTGTGCTCAGGGACTGCAGTTGAATACATTAAAATCACTCAGTTTGCTAGTTAACATATTTCCATCCCTTTTATACACAACCTTTCACATTCAGTTGGCAGACCGCAAATTCATGGCCTTATAAAACCCACTGTCTTGATTTTCTGTTGTGACAGCAGAAATTGTCCAAAATCTAACAGTTTCCCTAAAGGATGCTCACTAGCTGGTACTTCCCAGGTGCAGCACAATCTGAATCAGAGGTGAACATCATGTCAAATTCCACTCATCTGTCAATGTAGTGGATTATTTCTTGAGAGACTGAAATTGGCTGCCTGGGATCAGAACACCATCAATCTTATTCATGTAGGGTGCAGAGAAGCTGCCTGAGAAAGGCTCGCAGGAGGGAAAGCTTGGCTGTTTCTAAGTAGGTGATGAGGCAGCTGTAAAACCTTCACTCTATCTGTATCACATCTCTGAGTGAAAGATTTTGTCATTTTTCACATTTCCCCAACACTTGGTATGCATTCCGCGTCTTGCTGTTCTTGCTTCATCAAAAGGCGATTTTTCAAGCTTAGGCAAATGTTGCAGAGCTCTGAATCTGCCCAGCTCATTTTTTCTCATAATGTCACTTGTTTCAACTGATTTTACAAAACAAGATTACATTTTCCTTTTACCTTTCTGTTTAGCTGGGCTGGTTTTCCCCATTTCCTTCGCTGGGGGACAGACTCAAATAACCGGCAGCATTACTTACAATTGCATTGTAATAAATATTTTGTTCATTTCTCTGCAAGTCCCAAATAAGAACCTCACCACTCAAATTTCAAATACTCTCAAACTTCCAGTGCCAGCTAGTAAACGTAACACCATTAGTTAACCTGATGCTGTAACACAGCTACCGAGAGCTGGTCTATCAAAGATTTAGGTCTATTCCTTCATACTATGCGTATTTTATCACAAGAAAGCAAGACAGTGCCAATACCTGTGACTTTTGGACAAGGAAAGTACTTGGAAAAACTTTGAGTCATTAAGGTTGCTAAAGACTACAATTGCATGTAATAAATATTTTGTTCATTTCTCTGCAAGTCCCAAATAAGAACCTCACCACTCAAATTTCAAATACTCTCAAACTTCCAGTGCCAGCTAGTAAACATAACACCATTAGTTAACCTGATGCTGTAACACAGCTACCGAGAGCTGGTCTATCAAAGATTTAGGTCTATTCCTTCATACTATGCGTATTTTATCACAAGAAAGCAAGACAGTGCCAATACCTGTGACTTTTGGACAAGGAAAGTACTTGGAAAAACTTTGAGTCATTAAGGTTGCTAAAGACCTGTGGTTCAATACCATCCATCTTTGAAGGTATGCCATTAGATTAAAAAAAAACATTAGAGTATTAGTTGCCACATTATTAAATGATTCATCACTGAGTTAACATTTTCCATCTTTCATTTCCAAAGCTCTTAAAACCTCTCCCACCTTTTTTTGGATCCAAATTTGTGAAGCAACAGATGATAATACTGTGCTAGAATATGCCAACTCCTCAATTTTTAAGCTGGCACATATTCTTCAAAGCGCAATTAACCGTTGAAAAAGTTACATGATCCATTTCTATTAATAAAAACACAGTAAAATACTAATGTGCAGTCTCTGTGGAGCACAACAGTCAAAGTGAGCTGCATTCTCCACCGCTAACCTGTGGGATTTATTCTGACTTTACAGGCTTTTAACTCCATCGAAAGACAGTCCCAAATTCTCCTCTGGGCTGCACTTCTGCAACCCCATCAATTTTCAGAGGTAAACTTGAGAACCTTAGAATAACTCTCTAAGGCAAACACCCGACCTCCAGTAAACACTAGTGACTATGAGTGAGATTTGGTGCCAGTATTTTAAGTAACAAACCTATGTCCAGTTTGGGTCAGATACTGCAGAGTTATCCAAAGTTGTGCTGTCACAATATCTTTCGGAGTTATACACCCACTTCAGAACTGCACGAAATGGGGAGAAGGGGAGATAGAAATACGGACAGAGAAAGAGACAGAGCAACTAAATGGTTATCCAAAATGGGATTCCTGTGTTGGGAAGTTGTTAGAAGACGACGTTAAAGGATGAATATTCCAACATCAGATTGGCAAAGCACGACACGTTAGACCGACCCAAAAAAGATGCTGTGCAATATGAAGGCAAGCAACTCATAAAAGTTAAATGACAAAATGGATTTTATGATTATTCAATCATTTATCAAGACAGACATAAGCACGGGCAGAAAGCCTGCAATCTTATGGCATCCCACAGCTGATCTCAGTCCTACCTGGTCTGTGCAGGTGATGCTGCTGGAAAGTGTGATGGAGGGACCCCTGACAGAGCAGCATTGCACAGGCACTTATCCACAAATACAGGACCCAGGACATTGCAGAGACCACTGCCATTCTCTAAATAAAATATTAGACAGACATTATTATCCATTGCCTTACAGCACACAGAATAGTCAGCTTCCATTACAACAGTATTTTTAATTTTTTTTTTTTTTTTTTTAATACACGCCTTTTGCTAAATGTCTTTTGTCTCCGGGTTATTATTACCCCCTGCAGGATGCAATTGTTGTACAACAAAGGTCATGTCCAAAAAGGACAGTTGAGGTAACAAGATGTCAACACAGGAGCCTGGATAACTTTAATAATTCAATGGTAAAAATGAAACTGTAATGATCTGAGGACTAAAAATACCAAAACCAATGTAAATAGAAGGCTGGAAAATACTCCTATGCTGGTCCATAGCTGAATTTACAAGAGTTAAAAAAAAAAAAATCACACAGCCAGCCTCAAAAAAAAAAAAAAAAAAAAAAA